TTTAGTGCAAACTTCTAGTGTAAATTAACACTATTATTTGACCAAAACCTATTGGTGGTAGTGAATAAAACGAAAAGGTAAATAAAGAGAAACATTTATTTGGAAAAAAATCTATGACAATTATCAAAAAACGAAAAGGTACCTAAATAAAGAGAAACATTTATTTGGAAAAAAATCAATGACAGTTATCAAAATCGGTGCTTTTTAAAATATAATTTTATATTTGAGTCGTATGGCTGGCTTAAGCAAAATGGATCCTTAAAACGTAAAAGTTTTAGATCAATGCAATGTTTTACTGGCTGTCAACTTGTAAGCAATGAATTATCTTGAGAATTTATCAGTAATCCATTTTTCTGTTATAAAAAATGGGTGATCCCATTGGAAGAGAGACGTCAGGCGGCTGTATGTCGGGGATTTACCACACGTGTACAAATTTTCCATAAAATTAATAAAAATGTAGGTATAGGTTAATATAACAACCATTACGCTTAAAAATAAAAAATAAATCAAGCGACCTACTGCCGTAAATTATAATTATAATTATAATTATTGATATATAATATAGTTCGGGTATTGGACATCCTTTTAACATAGGTATTGGAATTTATTGAGTATTAAGGCTTAAAGGAAAAGGAAGTATAATACTTACCAAAAAATAAGAATATCCCCTTATGGATTCACCGTAATACAAATCTAACTGAACAAAAATGCCACAACGCGGTATCTCCGGATATGCACTGCGTAGGTAGATAGGTACCAGCCAAACATTTTAAAACGCATTTCGGTTATTACCAGTTTTTTCAGTGTATTTTGCCACTATTTGTGTAATTTAACTTTAATTGTGATACAATGTGCACTAGTAGTGTAAAGAAAAAAGAGCTCTTAGTAACATCAAAAGAAATTGGCAGGCACTGTAGTGTACATTTTATTACTATTTAACACATTAAGGTGTAATAAACACTCGCACTAAGTTTTTCTACCCTTTCGATTTATTTTATTAATAAATAGTGTGAATATTCACATATGTACCAATGAATAATGTTCATATTCTTTAAATGTGTTTAATAAAGTTAATAAGCACTAAATGCTACCTAGTGTATTTTGTAGTGTAACTTTTACACTTACAAATCAACTCTAATATTTTTACCCCTCTACAGTAAAAAAATTTACACAGGCAAAATTTTTTAGTGTGTAAGCATTGCTACTTCCGCTATATTATAGCTACGCCACTGCTGTATGCCCTACTATAAATTAGTGCCGGTGTTTAATGTGTTAGATATGATGTTTTTTTAACTATCGCACCTTTATCGTAAATGTCTATATGTAGGCATTTATCATGCACTTTATAGGCCACCCGGGAAAAATGTTATATAAAATTGTATATAAATATGCATTTATCTACTTATATTGCATAATTTTGAATTTCTTTCTCGATTAATGATAAACATTATAAATTCCCTGCCTAACAACGAGAATAATGAACTAATTATTCACGTTGAGAGGCATCAATAATTGGCCGATTTCAATATTTACTGTGATTTGAACCAATCGGGTTTTAAATTGGAATTGGTAAAAGGTAAGGTTAACCATTTGACAGATCGGCCATTTCAAGCGAGCAAAACGCACGAATTACAAAACTGTTTTTATAGTACTCTTTCATTAGGCTATATACAGGGTGTTTCAGAATAAGATGCTGAACCGTAAGGGTGTGAATCCTTAGTTGATTTTAAGAAAAAAGTTCAAATAAACCTATGACCTAAACCACTTAATTTTTGAGTTAGAGGGTGTTTGTTTTTTTATCATAACTTTAATAACATTCTAGATATTTTTATAAAATTTGGCACACGCCTTCTAAGCATTAACAGTAAGTTTTTGATGTAGAAGATATTTTATTTTTTTTACCAGTGGCGTCCGTACAGGATGTGGTCTAGTTTTTTTAATATTATGCACGCCACTGCTATTTTTCAAAATAAAAATTATTTTTTAAATACCCATTCATTTTAGGGCAAATTTGATTTCTTGACCATTTTTCGTACGACTAACGGTTTTCGATTAAAAAAATAAAACCGAAGAAGCTGTTTTACATTTAGTGGATCAAAACCCTGATATAAGTACTATAAAAATTGGGAATATTTTAAATATTACTCATGTTCTAGTGTGGAGAATTCTTCATGATTATTTATATCCTTACCATATTTAACCATATTTAACCGGTCCACGCCCTACTTCCTCGGGATTTTCCATTACGCTTAAATTTTTGCCAATGGTTTCTTCAAATGGTTACCGACAATCCCCAATTTGACGCCAAAATTTTATTTACAGACGAAGCTAATTTTTCCAGAAACGCCATAAGAAATTTTCACAACAATCATTTATGGACTGAAGAAAACCCGCATGCCATCACGCAATCCAACTACCAGCAACAATTTCAAAAACTTACTGTTAATGCTTAGAAGGCGTGTGCCAAATTTTATAAAAATATCTAGGAAGTTATTAAAGTTATGATAAAAAAACGATTTTTTTCTTAAAACTTTAACACCCTGTAACTCAAAAATTAAGAGGTTTAGGTTATAGGTTTATTTGAACTTTTTTTTTTAAATCAACTAAGGATTCACACCCTTAAGGTTCAGCATCTTATTCTGAAACAACCTGTATTTAATAAAAAAACAAGAAATATTTTATAAAAGTATAGATAATTTTAATAATTGAAAGGTGTGGACGGGATAAAAAAAAGATTTACATATCTTGTCCCGTCCTGTCAATCAGTAAAATTATTTCTACTTTTGTAAAATATTTCTTGCCTAATAAAAGAAGAATATATTTGACAATTTTTATGCAATCAGATATCTATATAGTTGTTGATCATTTATTCTGTCCCATAATTAATGGTTCCTACACAGCAAAACCACATGTGGTTTATGATTCTTTATGTAAAAATATAACGATTTAACCAAATTTACCAGGTTCAAAGTTAAAAATAACCAAAAATATTTTTCCAAGATACAGGGTGTCTAAATTAAAAGTTCGCTATAGATTTTATTAAAAAATTTGGTTTTTGAGGGTTTTCAGGAGGGAAAATTATTGATGTAGACTGTAGAGGTAGCTGCCTGTGTTACGGTTTGAATAAAAATATTACTTTTTTCATCTTTATTACGCAAAAAGGTACACTTTGTAAATGTAGCTTCGAGTAAATCAGAGTCCTTCAGAGGAAAATCCTCATAAAATAAGTATCAGAAACTTTCAGCGTAGATTCAGTATAAACTTATGGGCTGGAATTTTAGGAGATTCTTTGATAAGTCCAATAACCATTATTTTATTAAATCATTAATTTAAGACCAAGATCGGACTGTTTCAATTTCCACCAAGATTTAACGGCAAAATCTATGCCAATTTCATCATTCGTTCCAGTTCCGCCACATTGTGAAGCAAATATTGTACTAAAGATGTTCGAACTCTTGTATGTGCGTGGTGGACCTAGAAACTGACCAGCCAGATAACCTGACCTAACATCCTTGGACTCTTTTTTGTGGGGTCACATTAAAAACTATGTTCGAAATCCTATTGATACAGTATTAGAGCTGTAATCCTAATCCATGGAGCTATTGCCATCGTTACACTAAATATGATCAGAAATACCAGAGAGAGAGTTTGATAAAGCTTTTAAAGGGTCATAATCCAAAAACTAAGGTCCATAATATTTTTTTACAAACTTAGAACAAAATGGAAATTGTATCGTTAAGAGCGCTTCCGTCACTTCTGGGACACCCTGTATATATAGGTATATATTAATTAATTCTTAATTAATAATACAAACTAGCAGCCAATATATTAATTTAATATTAACATTTTATAATTCCTTAAAAATCTGCAACCGTTATATTACCCTTTAAATACAACCAGATTGTATTTTAAACATAATACCAATAAACAAAAAAAACATTGTCTAATTTATTTAGTCATTATATATTATTATACTTATTTAATTATATAAAAATTTCTAGAATTATATATAATTATAAAAAAATCCCGGGATGGATATTTATTGGGTAATTAATTAAGGTGCTTGCAAAATATTACATATATAATATATTATTTATTTATTTACCATACAAAAAATAGTCTTACCATACAAAAAATAGTCTTACCAAAATGAACATTTTTTATAAATTTAATTTTAACCAAAGTGTCATAGAAACCGTTAATAAATCTATCTGCCATATCAGGCAGGCATGTAAATAAAATACTCGTACGCGATGGGAATTTCATTATACTTTACAAACATTGTCTTATGCGTGCATACAGTTCCCTGGGTTCACATATTGAGCCTCATTGTGTTAAATTATGCTTTACATTATTTTTTCTTTAATTTATATGCATTTTTACCGTTTTAATAACTTAAATAGGTAAATAAATTATAATTATCAATGTATTAGGATTTATTTAAAATTTTTATCCATGTCGGGTTACTACTGTTTTACTATATTAGTTTCCTTAATTAACATTAAAAATCGGAGAATGGTAAAGCTTTTAAAATTATAAAAAACAAATAGCTAAAAAAGTAATAGCTTAGATGTTGTACCATAGTTATCTACCTGAAGGTAATACAGTATGGGTGCTATTATCTAATTTGCATGTGTTAAAAATCCCATTAAAAGTAGACAAATGCACGGTAAAACTGTTATGTCCCAAAGCACGCCGATATCTTTGCTTATACGGTGTCATGAGAAGAAAATTGATACTTTCATGCCAATGCCTGTGTCAATGATTGCTGACTGCTATCCAACCGGCCCATTGATATTTAAATTAAGAACTATAATAATGTAACACGTAACATACGTGGCGGATAATTCGAATTCAATAGCAAGTCTAAAATTATTTCTAACGGCGCTTTGGTAGTTTAAGTACTTCTCTTAACTGTCTACCATTTTGTAAAGGAATTTTTACTATGACAAAATTAGGGTTCAAACAAATCATGTTATTAAAAAATTATATTTTTTCAGCTGCTCGTCCAGGAAACGTTTGCTACAGCAACGCTCACTGTCGTCTTTGGACAGCTGACAGCCACTGCGATTTTTTGATACCGAATTTATTTGGACGCTGCCAATGTAACACGCCTTTTAAACAACTTGGCGATTCTTGCGTCAGATCTGCCTTCCAAACTAAATCCAACATCAGTACTACCACTACAACAAGTACTACGACTACTACAACCAGTACTACAACCCCTGGACCTGTTCTCACAACAGAACCCGATATTAATTCCAATATCATCATAGACAGTAGCACTCCGTTAATCAAGGAAAAGGAGAAGATTACCACCACTAGCAGTACTATTAGTGTCAGTACTTCTACAGAAGAAGCAACTACAATATCCAAGAAAGCTCCAACGATGTCAACCAAAGCCTTTTCTAACAGTTTCAACCTTAGAAAACGTATTAGAACAACATCAGCCCCAAAAATCTACAGAACAACTCAAAGACTGCGCAATAAATACAAAGGCTCGCAGAACGGTTCCAAAAACGGCCACCCAAAAAGACGTATCGCCTCCAGAACTACCACCACAACAACTACAACAGTACTACCAAAATTAGAACTGACAACTGCTTCCCCCCAAGATTCCACAACAAAGCTGATTTTGGCCACAAGAACAACTCAGATGGAAGCTGCAGCTACATCCACCACTACCAGTAATTATTACAATGTTTTTAATAAACTACACTACTACGATTTGTTCAAATAATTATTTGACATAACTAATTATTCATTGATTGTGTTGTATGGTTTCTTAAGGCAATAAATGTGATTCTGCATTATCATCCTTTAACGCTTCATTTAACCAATAATTTAGAGTTTAAGTGGTAAAAGGGATTTTTAGAAAGGAATTGTATTATATAATAGTTTAATAATTGATGTGGATCAATAATACCTATACAAGTACAGTAATAATAATACTTGGGAAGCAAACAAAAAATTTACAGTAAAATATCGGTATAAACTAAATTCTATTAATCATTATTAAATTATAAATCATCATCTAAACAATTAATTAACCAGAAGTCCTTATTTGGAGTTCAAGAATTTAGATTCAAAACATTTTGTTGCGCAATATTTTCAACAGGTAGTTTATTTTATCTTATCCTGTAAAATATTTAATAAAAAAACCTACTCTTTAGATAATTTAAGTGGGTAAGTAACGATTTTATTAGATAAATAAATTATTCAAACTTAAATTTAAGAATACTAAAATAACTTTGCATAAATATTATAATTAAAGTGCTCGAGCGCACTTGACAGTGAATGTTCTCAGTAAAGTAAAGAAAACTGCAACTTTTAATAACTGATGATTACGAAACCAGAACAATTTTATTACAATAAAAACCTGCAGAAGATAGATGGCGTGTGTAGGATTATGATGAACTCGACTACATTAAATCAAAGTATTAAAGTATACAATAATTTAATTTAACAAATGTTTAAGAATTTGTTGATTTAGATTATAGTATGTGACAAAGTTATTCGTCGAGATAATAAATTGGTTTTAAATTCCAGCTAACGTCGTTCTAGAATTTAAATTACTACAAAATATCATTTATATTAATTAGTTATTATTTTATAACTTTTGTTATAAATATCATCAATTACATTTTTATATAAGGTGCATCAAGTATTCTTCTATGTATGGGTATCTTTTTTATTTGAAGAGCTACAAGGTCGGTTAAATTGGACAAATCAGTGGTTCTCAAATTATTTGAAAAAACTGAAAACCGGTCAAAACAAAAAATCGTTATAACTTTGTTATTTCTAGGAATTTTGAAAAAAGTTAGTTTTACATGTAAACATACACATTTTTCAAATATTTTGAGACACTCTGGCTTTTTATCCAATTTATAAATTTCATGCTAATTGGCTTGTAATCAAGAAACTTTAATCTAATTTACACGACCTAGTTGATCAAATAAAAAAATTTTAGTTAAGAGTGCAGAAATGTTGTCTTGGATTTGGATATTAATTTTGTCATAGATTCCTATGTTCATTTTTGTTGTTTTGGTGTTGTAGAAAAGCCTAAAGTCAAGTCTACAGCCATCAGAAAAAGAGTAGAAGATGAAAACGAAGCTGTCAGCTTGGGTCTCCCCTGCGTAACTGATCTTCAATGCAGAGCAGCTGATTCCTCATCGAGATGTGTTGAGGGTGTTTGTGATTGTGCCATCAGATCGAACGGAACTGTCGGTTGTTCCGCCAAAAATAGAGGATGCATTCCCGGAACATTCCAGGTAAAAATATTATCAGCATTTTTCTCTAATCATTTTCGATAAAAATGCTGTCATTAAACCAACGACTAGGCTCTAGTTTATTATCAAGGCCGTCTAACAACAAGGTTAAACAGTAATATGTGGTAAAACAGCAATTATCTGCCCGTTAATCGGATGAATGGTTACAGTTTATTTATGTTATACTTAGTCCTGTCGTTTAATGATCCATCTGCTCATTAACTGCATTCTAGATAAGTTGGTTCATTTTGTTTGCAGATAATTAAATAAAATCTGCAGGAATGTTGCCAATTTAAATTTAAAGAGAAGATACAACTAAGGTTTTAAAGTGTAGGAAAATAACCGGAAAAATTTCCTACGCCTTGGAAAAATTGGCTTATTTTTATCTGTAATAAATTTATTATCCTTAAGGGTATTTTCAAAGCAATCAACAAATTAACAATATTTTATTTTGACTATTTCCCTCGTCCTAATTTCGACCAATCACAAACGCGCAATTTTGAATTACAAATGGTTTCTAGGTGGAAAAACTGTATGACAGCACCTGTCAGCAGTTTATTCGAGTTTACCCGCGGCAAAACTTGACAGCTGTTGTCAATAAAAATTACAATTTATATTTTAATTGTTAACTGTTACTCATGAAATAGTCTTGTCAAATACCATTCGGGCATCTAATTTTTCCTGTGAAAAAAATCGAAAAAACACAATGCTAAGTAATATTTTTTAACAAAATGCATTCGTGCAGGTGCAAAAATCCTCCTCTTCGACTCGGATTTTTGTTGCCACCAGCACTCATGCTTTTTGTTAAAATATTACTTAGCAACGTGTTTTTTCGATTCTTTTCGGAAAAATTAAATGCCCTTATGATATTACTTACGAAAAAAATATCCACAAGGAGAATAAATTTATTACAGAAAAAAACAAATAAAACTAAACATTGAATTGAATTGATTTAAGAAAATAAACGTAAACGTTAAATTTACTGTCAGTTGGGTCCTTTTTGCAAAAGGGTGTCCATTAAAAATATCCATTTTCATCGATGTGTCAAATAAAATTTTAATACAGCACCGAATTTGTTTTTTTGCGACCCGGTAGAAGATTCTTACTAAATTATGATAATAAAAATAATTACACTGAATGTAAATTTTCAAGTTTTGAAATATCACAGCTAAACGCTCGGATACAAAATAATTTTTGGTCGTAGATTCCAAGTTCGTGCTCGGTTTAGCTGTATCAGATCTAAAAAAAGTTTTTCCTATTGGCAATCCGATCCGGGGACATACTGATTACGGTTATATTTCACCTCTTGTGCCAAAAATTGTATGCTTTTTATTTTGTTTAATATAATATCCTCAATTATATATTTATATATAAAAAATCATCTAAAAAAAACCTCTGTTCCTTTTGATCAATTAACCTCAAATTTTACAAGAACTTGTTTTTTTATTAATTTGGAACTGGGGTCCAGCCCAATTGATTTTTTTTTAATTTATACAGTTTGTTTCCTAATAGGATGCTCAAAAACTTGAAAATTGAATATTTTTGAATTTTGACCTGATACGGCTAAACCAAGCACGGATTTGTAATATACAGCAAAAAATTAAGTTTACGTGCCCCAGCGTTTAGCTGTAATATTTTCACCTTCCTACAGTGTTATTGTAATTATGTATTAAATGATTATAATTAAAGTCAAAAATTCATTTTTTTTTCAGTGTAGAGATATTTAGAAATTTTTAGAAAAATTGACTTAGATTATCTAAGTTAGATACAACGCAAAAATATGTTTTATGGTTCTTAAACATTTTAAACGCGATTCTATTCATAAAATCAGTTTTATAACGATTTTTGTAAGAATAAATTGACCACTTTCTAAAAATGAATTAGTCAAAAATTTTCAACTCTTGAAATATCACAGCTAAACGCTCGGACACGTAAACATAATGTTTAGTCGTAGATTCCAAATCCTTGCTCGGTTTAGCTGTATCAGGTCTAAAAAAGTTTTTCCTATCGGAAGTCCGATCCAGGGACACACTGTATAATGGTATATTATAATTTGTAAAATAATATACTTCATCTCTTGTGCCAATATTCCTATGCTTTTTTTTTCAATAAACATAATATCCTCAATTATACTCAATAAAAAAAAATTAGCAAATAAACATTTTGAATTTCCTAAATTATCTATAAAAACTATCAGGGGCCCCTGTTCCTTTTGATCAATTAACTTCAAATTTTGCAATAATTTGTGTTTTTTTTTAAATTTGGAACAGGGTGTTTAAATTTATACAGGGTGTTTTCAATATCTTTGAATTTTGACCTGATACAGCTAAACCAAGCACGGATTTGTAATCTACGACCAAAAATTAAGTTTACGTGTCCGAGCGTTTAGCTGTGATATTTTCACCTCCCTACAGTGTTATTAGTTGCTGCTTTTTCACTTGGTATACCATGGCATCCCCGACATAATAGCTAATTCTTATGTAAAATTCTCCGAATAATCCGAAAATGTCGTCAAAAGTTATAAAAGTAAAACAGTTTTTGAGATATCGTCCATTTTCCATATAATATGGAATTGACTATATCTCAAAAACTGCTCTACTTTTATAATTTTTGACAGTATTTTCGGATTCAGGGGACAATTTTACATAAGAATTGACTATAAGTGAAAAAGCAGCAACTAATAACTAGTAATTAGTCATTTTTGACTAATTCATTTTTAGAGAGTATATAACCAAATATAATTAATTTTTATGGAAATAGATATAAAAATGTTGTTTTATTCCAAAGAAGATTTAAAACACAAAACATTTATTAAAAAAATAGCAAAATTCAGTGACTAGCATAGAAATCCTTTATCTTAAAGATAATTAGGCATTCAGAAGTGGTATTTAATATTTATGGTTATTGTTGTTATTTTTAGTGTCGAAGCACAGGGACCTGCATAAGTTGGTTCTTCGTGTGCGACGGCAGGAAAGACTGCAGCGATGGATCTGACGAAGAGTGCAAATTCAACAAGTGTCCGCTGGAATCCTACAAATGCTCCAAGTCCGGAAAATGCGTGTCACGTGCAGGCCGTTGCGACGGACAAAAAGACTGCCCGCAAGGCGAGGACGAGCAAGACTGTCAAGCTACAGGAAAAAGAGGTAAATACCTATACATATTTTTGAAATCTGTCACGCAAAATATTGACTGATTTATTTTTAGGATGTCCGTCGGACACTTTCCAGTGCGCGGACGGGAAGTGCCTGCCGGAATACGAATTTTGCAACGCGATCATCGGTTGCAGCGATGGAAGCGACGAACCGGCTCACATTTGCAGAGGCAGGGCAAGAAGGCGCCTTTCAGATTATTGTCCCTTAAGGTGCGGAAACGGAAGATGTAGGTCCAGTGCGATCGCTTGTTCCGGTCGAGACGGATGCGGGGACAATACTGACGAAAATCATTGTTCAGTTTGTCGTAAGTATTCTCTCTTAAAATGAATTAGTTAAAAATGACTAATTTTCATAGCGAAAAAGCAGCCACTAATATTAATTATAATTCTAGTCAACAGTAATTTGTATCTCGGATTTTTAGCAGTCAATTTCTATGTAAAATGGTCCGCTGAATCCAAAAGTTATAAAAGGAACAGTTTTTGAAATATAGTCAACTTTCCATATAATACAGAATTGACTATATTTCAAAAACTGCTCTACTTCCATAACTTTTGATGACATTTTCGGATTCAACAGACAATTTTACACAGAAATTGACTGTTAAATGTCCAGGATACAAATTGATGTGGATTGCAGCTATTCGTGACTTTTTCGCTATGACAATTAGTCATTTTTGACTAATTCTTTTTAAGAGAGTTAGTATTATTAGATATTATTAAAGTAAGAACAAATAACTGATGGACGTGGTAAACTGTTAAAAAAAATGTTTTTAATGATTCTTTTAAAAAAATAACAGATCCATTTTTTTTAATGATAAAATTATAAAAAGCAATCAAAATTACCAAAATCTTTAAAATATTAAAATTAAAAAAAAAATGAAATTAAAAAGGAAAAACGTTAATAAATTTTTTTAAAAATTGGATTTCCTTAAATTTAAAAACTTAAAAATAATAAATAAAAATTTTATAAACTATTGTTAAAAAGTAAAAAAAACTGTCAAAAGAATCGAAAAACTCAAAAATAGTAAAAAGAGAAAAAGTTGAAAAACGTAATAATATTTTGGTTTTGACAAAATTAATAAATTAATATTAAAAAGTAAAAAAAGAATGAAAAAATAATGGGGTGTCCCAAAATTAGGGGGCCAAAGATGAAAAAACCAGTTTGTTTAATAAACCTGCATCGAAAAATGCCCATTGGTGAAGTAACGCCCCCCCAAAGGGGAGAATAAAATGATTTTTTTCAAGGGGTTAAACTTTAAAAAAATAATTTTGGATACTTTGGTAATTTTGAAATGCTGAATCTAGATCTACTATTAAAACTGTTAAAATGAAATCATAGACGTAAAGTTTGGTATTTTTTTTCTAAAAATGTATAGCCTTCTCCTAAAAAATGGTACTTCTGATTTGCATCGCTCAGATGCACCATTTTAGAGCCTTTATAAATATCCCAGTTTAGCAAACTCATCTCATATTTTCATTAAATATTAGTAGCAACCCATATTAAATGTTTTTAAAATCCATAGTAGAAAGCTCGACATTTTTATAAATTCGAAAAAAATAGTACGTACGCTTATGATTAAATTTTGCACTTTATTGTTTTGGTCTTGATTCAGCATATTAAAAATTACAAAGTATCAAAAAATTATTTCTTTATGTTAATGGAACGCTTATGATTAAATTTTGCACTTTATTGTTTTGGTCTTGATTCAGCATATTAAAAATTACAAAAAATCAAAAAATGATTTCTTTATGTTCAAGGAAAAAAATAGTACTCTTTTCAGGGGACCGAAGCTCCATCAGGAGGCATTTTTCCATACATGTTTATAAAACAATTATTGTTTAAATTTAAATTACTGTTTTCTTGCTATGCAGTTTGCACTGCTTAATTCGAAACACATATATGGGGCAAAACACCTCAAGTGTTCCCACCTAAAAATGATGTTGTCTCCCATTTTAACAAATCTTTGCCAAATAATAATTATTTATAGGACAATTATTGTCCTATTGCACTACCTTAATTTTCCAAATGGGGGGCAAAAAGGATTAGCGGGTTGCAGAGATACAGGGGCCTAAAAATTTATTTTTTTTTCTCGTGCGCTTAAAAGACGTCGAAATATTCATGTATATAATAATTTTTTTTTAAATTGATAATCAACATATCGCATAGCATTTTTTCCACGCTTTACGATAAAAATGGTCTCGAAAGCGAGAAAAAATTTTTTGGTTACAAAAAAACGATTTTAAAAATATATTTGTTTTTTTCTCGAAATGCGACACATTTGATTTTTTTTAAATTAATATCATTAGAAAGCTTTTTCAATTCTCTAAATTTTGATGTAATATGAAGATGGGATCCCAAGAATAAGTCGAAAAAAATAAGGGTTGAAGCGCGTAGGGACCGTGCGGCGAGCAGCTACTACTTAGTGGATTAATTTTAGAGGGTCAATACAACTTTTAAAATTATTTTTATATATAAATAAATGTATTTTTCGATGGGTTTAAGTCAAAACAGCATAAGCGCCAATTTTTTTTTCTTTTTTTAGAAGAAGTTCGGTAAAGAATTTAACTATGAAAGAGATTTTGGTATTTCAGCCGAGTGGCACTTTAATGCAACAGCACACGGTAAAGGCCTCTGTGATGGTATTGGTGGGAATTTAAAAAGACTCGCTGCCCGCGCAAGTTTGCAGGCAAAATCAAAAAATCCAATTCCAGATGCCAAAGATTTGTATGAATAGGCTCAAAAAAGTTTGAAAGAAACAAAAGTATTTTTCATTCTGAAAAATATCATATGAAAACAGCTGAAATTCTTAAAAAGCGATTTGATTCTACAAAATCAATTCCTGGGACACAGAAATATCATTCATTTGTTCCCTACGGAAAAGGAATTTTGTACTTAAAAAAAATATCGTTTGCTAACGAATATGATATTTTTCCCAAAAATAAAAAATAGGTAAAATGTTCAATAAAAAGTTTACACGAAAAATGTTTATTATTATTGTGAGACACTTGCAATTGCATTTAATAGTAGAACTTATTTACATTTACGTGCACGTGTAATTTATTCAGAGTAAGAGCAACTTTCTACATTTTTCTTTTTCGACTACAAAAACCAAAACATGGGTTTTAATAGCTATTAATTTGAACTATTGCAATAAAATCGATGGGGTTAAGGCAAAACGACACAAGCGCCAAAAATTTTAAATTTGTTAGAAGTACCTACCTGCAGGTCGATAGAGAATTAAATTCTCTATCGAATTAAATTCTCTATCGACCTTCTTCTAAAAAAAAAAAATTTGGCGCTTATGCTGTTTTGACTTAAACCCATCGAAAAATACATTTATTTCTATTTAAAAATAATTTTAAAAGTTGTATTGACCCTCTAAAATTAATCCACTAAGTAGTAGCTGCTCGCCGCACGGTCCCTACGCGCTTCAACCCTTATTTTTTTTCGACTTATTCTTGGGATCCCATCTTCATATTACATCAAAATTTAGGGAATTGAAAAAGCTTTCTATTGATATTAATTTTTAAAAAATCCAATGTGTCGCATTTCGAGAAAAAAACAAATAAAATCGTTTTTTATAACCAAAAAATTTTTTCTCGCTTTCGAGACCATTTTTATCGTAAAGCGTGGAAAAAATGCTATACGATATGTTGATTATCAATTTAAAAAAAATTATTATATACATGAATATTTCGACGTCTTTTAAGCGCACGAGAAAAAAAATAAATTTTCAGGCCCCTGTATCTATGCAACCCGCTAATCCTTTTTGCCCCCCATTTGGAAAATTAAGGTAGTCCAATAGGACAATGATTTGGCAAAGTTTTGTTAAAATCGGAGAAAACATCATTTTTAGGTGGGAACACTTGAGGTGTTTTGCCCCATATGTATATATACATTGAATTAATCGATTTTTAATTTATTATTATTGAAATTTTGTACACTGTTTAAAATATCTGTGGTGTAAAGAGTAATCTTAAAATGGTGTCAAAATCCAACACCAAGTAGTGTTAATATAAACACCATAAATTATGGTTGAAAATGTTATATACAGCAAACACCAAAACGGTGTTTATCTAAAAATATTTGAGAAGTGCACCTACACAGAAAAAAAGGAATAGTTCATTTAACTATATTAATTTAGTTGACCCATAAGTATTTATTTAAATCAACTGTGGGAAGGTTAATATAAACAAAGATTTGTTTGACGGTACTAAACCAGATAGTTATTTTTTTTTAAATTGGTTAAATTAACCCAGAAAACTTTAGTAAAACCAACCCGCTGTATGGTTCAGTTTACTAAATATGTTGTTTGTAAAATAAGAGTTACTTCAACCTAAAGCACTCTGTTAAAACGATTAAAACAATTTGCCGTGCATTCCTGATTGCATAGTGTGTACTAGGGGTGTCAATCCCGAGCCCTTTTTCCAATCCCGGGACTTTCGGGACCAGAGATCCCGGGATCCCGGGATCAGTCCCGAAAAAATTGATATCATTAATTTAAAAACCAATTTAAAACAAAGAAATAAACAACCTAACGAACGGTATCCAGGGCCGTTTCTGGAGAGCGTGCAGTGAGTGCACGCACGCAGGCGCAACATTTTGGGGGCGCAAAATCAAAGTCAATCGGTACTTTGTAACAATAAACTTTCTTGCAAATAAACTAATACTTATACATACATAGGATAAAGGTTGCCGCTATTTTTTTCGGCCGCTATACAGCGCCTTTTGCCGCTTTAATATTAGCGACTTATTTTTTTGTTGTCGATATAAGTATCAAAATAAAATGAAAGAAATTGTCATAATATTTTTAGTATTTGTTTGATAGTTGCAGTTGACGGTAGCAAAGTTTAACAGTAGTCTACACAGTGCACGACTTTGTAACTATAGGTACTTTCTAAAAATGAATTAGTCAAAAGCAATTTGTATCCCGGACATTTAGCAGTCAACTCATATGTAAAATTGTCTGAATCCGAAAATGTCGTCAAAAGTTATAAAAGTACATAGAACAGTTTTTGGGATATACTCAGTTTTTCATATAATATGGAATATAAGATATCTCAAAAACTGCTCTACTTTTATATTTTTTGACGATCTTTTCGGATTCAGGGGACAATTTTACATAATAATAAGCTGTTAAATGTTCAGGATACAAATTGCTGTGGACTACAGTTATTAGTGACTGCAGTCATGCTCTTTCACTTTAAAAACTAGTTATTTTTGACTAATTCATTTTTAGAGAGTACGTCACTAAAAACCAGTTGTAGTTTTTTTTTTAATTTTGTTTTCTTTAGAGTATTTTTATTACTAACTATTTTTCGTGATTTCGTTTGTTTGGTAATTTAATACATATTTTTTATACTTAATTTCAGCAGTTTTTTTACATTTTCAATTACATTTTGCCAGTTTGTTGCAAAATATATATTTTTGAAATTTTAGGGCTTAAAATTAAAATATTTAATGTATTATATTTAAATATAAAAGGGGCGCACCAAAGAATGCTGCACGTAGGCGCCAGACACCCCAGGAACGGGCCCGACGGTATCTTTCGGACTTTTACTAGTTGGAGGAATGGTTTCCAAGAATTCGTAGGCACATTGTACCAACGTTTACCCACATTAACAAATAATTCCATTTTTTTTATCAATTGGGGCTGTAACTTACATTGAAATTATCGAGTTTGTGACATTTTTCCAGGTTTGACGTTTAAAATATTTTATATTATAGGTTATGTACATGAATTTATTTTACAGTAACCTGTAATTTTACATTTTCTCAGCTAATTTTATGCTAAACGCGATGTATTTTCATTATTGTACGGCGGTGTATAATATTTTGATATTTGAACTACTTACAAAAATTAAGTATTTCTATATATGTAGGTATGCTTATGAGTTTTATAATATGAAAATTCTCATACGCTTGAATAAAAGTATATTACTAAGATCCCGGGATTGTGACTTTTGATCCCGGGATTTTCGGGATCGGATTTTTTACGGGATCCCGGGATTTCGGGATCCCGGGATTGACACCCCTAGTGTGTACCGATCGCGGCAAAGGCGGTGTGGATCACGTGATGTTCTTAAATCTCGCCTCTATTGACACATGAAGAGTATATACGCTCAGGTACTCCTTTGCTTTGGTGTGACACTACAAGTTGTTCGATACTAAAGAGACCTTGAATAGGTGGAAACAGCTGTCAATACTTGAAGTATTTTAAGTTGGTGGAACTCACTAAAAACATTATCTCTAGCGAGTTGAAGGTTCAATTTTCTGGAATAATACTACTGGTATATATACTTGTAATGCGTCAAGGAACTTCCTGTTTCCTTTTTTTTTCCGTGTAGTATGATTTAATTTGACCAAAAACACATAATATTTAGCACTGAAAAGGACTTCAATTTACACCAGGTAAAATTTATTTTAATACTGTGTGAAAGTTAAATTTACACCATTTTAGTATTTGAATTTACACTGGATCAACGAACCATATTTAACACCATTTTGGTTTGTATCGATATAGACCATGTATGGTGTTAATTTGGTATTAAAATGGTCGTGAAATTTTGAACAGTATAGTCAGTCAATTTTTATGTTTAACTCTAATGACCTAATCCAATAACTAAATTACTATAAACAAAAAGGGACCTCTTCAAAAAACCAAATTTAAGTAATATTTTTTTTAAAACTACATTAAATTTTAAACATTTTGAGAAAAAATTCTTTCTTCTACCTTGAGTACCCTAACAGGTTAGAAACCCTTTAGGGATGTAGATAAAATCTAGAATCCTGAATCGATAAAATTTGGAAAATTTATATTTTTAACCCCGATGTTTTTGTCCGTTTCCGCATCACATAGTTTATTTATTTTTATAAAAGTATAAGTAGTTAATAACTAGTTATTTTATAATCAGATTTATCAAAAAATAATTTTAAACTAGCATCTTATGTCTTGTTTTGCAGGGTATTTTTGAAGAATTTCCACTAATTAGTTTGTTTTGTTTCAGGGTGTCCAATCCTACAAGGAAGGAATTTAAGTTAGTTAAATTAATTTTGTTTATTTATCAAATTCTATAATGCCAAAAATTTTGTAAATTGATTTTATTTTAAAACCACACATATTTCTCGCTTAGAATTAAATGTTAGGTAAGTTAGACTTTGTACTGCTCAAAAATATTTAATTGTATTTTATTAATAGATATTTATTTATATTGTAAGATTACGATTAATTAGGTACTATTAGGCATAAGTTTTATGTAAAAAATAAATCTCTCGAAATAGTTTTTTTGTTATTTATTGTCATATTCTGTTTATTTAGAACAACTTCTGACCAACATAACCTGAAAACCGTGCTGAAACTGCAAGCCCATGGGGGGCCAGCTTTTTAAAGGAAATTGGCAACAAATTTTTGAGCGACATCTATCTTTTGCCATCTTGCTCATGCGCGTATCATTCTTGTCGGTGTGACTCATCGTAAAGTTTGACAGTTTGTTATGTGTGTTATGTAGTTTTCAACAATGGCCGATGTTGTTGTTTGAAATTGTGTGTTGTTTTGGTTTTTTTAAGGTAAGTTTAATTATTGTGGTAGGTGATAAACTTTTATAAAACTCCAGTTTTGAATTTCTAAACTAAATAAACCATTCAGTTATGCCTGGTTTATGCAGACTTAAAACTTAAGACTTAAGACTTAACATTTAACAATTAAGAAGTTAAAAGTTAGGTTATTTCATTGATTTCCTTTAAGGTCGTTTATGCACCATTTAAGACTTAAGACTTAAGACTTAACATTTAAGAACTAAGAAAAATGACCTTGAAAGATAATAAACTTTTATCTTTCTTAAGTCTTAATTTTTAATTCTTACATGAAATTTGCGCAAGCGTTAACTAGGGAATTTTAAATTAAACTGTTTCTTTTTCTATGGTTGTTGTAACTGAAAATTTAAAAATTCGTGTTTCATGTTTTTCTTGAAATTACTGTGCTAAAATGATAGATAGTTTGGATCCATTTTAGATTAAACTAGTAAACACAGATTATAAAAAACGTTGATAAACAAAAATATACGCATTCGCAAAACACAACGGTAAAATTTTAATGTTAATTGGCATTTTAATGTTGGTGGTACCAACTTGATACCACGTGATATTTTTATCGATTTTGATTGGTTACTCCTTAAGTTTTAAGTCTTAAGATAAATGCTGCATGAACGCCACAATTTTCGCTTATTTTTTAATTCTTAAGTCTTAAATGTTAAGTTTTAAGTCTTAAGTCTGCATAAACCCACCATTAGTTATAGAAACAAATTGTTGAATCGTAAATTACTTAATTAATGCTTTGTTTTTTGTTTTCATACCTATGCATGTATATTTATATAAATGTAGTTTTGTCATATTTGCGTTAATCCGGCTTTGATTTGAGCAACTTGTCCTCTCATTAACAGTTTTATTAGTATTTTTTCTTTCATATCCATCTTATAATTTTGCAAATAGGTATGATTATTTGCTCAAATCGAACCATACATTTGTTCCATGTTAATGAGTTCATATTTTAATATTTATGCCTGTTTTTATTTATTTATTAATATTATTTTCACATAATACAACAGCCCAGATAGCACCATTCGTCCAATGGACGTCCGTTTAAGATCCATTTTAAGTACATTGGTCCACGGACTAAAAATGGATGTACTATGTACGTCCATATATTTAGATCCTTTGTACGATTTTAATGGACGTCCATATAGTGTCCATTTTACGTCCATAATTATTATTACGGAAATGTAGTTAAAACGTATTGTTGGCTGCATAACAACAGTTATGATCAATCTCACTGACATTCAAGCAAGCTATAAAGGACTTAAGCTATCAATGAAATGTTAAACACTTGTAGTATTGCAAATGTAATATTCGAATACAAGGATTTCCTGAAATGTTTAACATTGAATGTTGTAACTTTTAACAACTTTTAGAATATTTATATTCCTAGTGGGATTGTTACTGAGCCAGACAAAAGGCATTTCAGTCATGTTGTAGAAAATTTTCTGCAACATCGCAATGAAAATACAGTCGCAAAAAACAGTTAAAGTAAGCAAAAAAGCAGGTCCTGGATGCTGGAGGAATGGTTTAAACACCTTATAGACGTCCATCGGTGGACGACTTATGGATGTCCAAAGTTGTGACATCTGGACTCTAAACGGATGTCCATGGGACGTCCATAGAAAAAAATGGACATCCTATGTACATACAGACGTCCACGAGCATACGTCCATTGGACGTCCATAGTATACCTTTGTGCTATCTGGGAGGCTTTTGCTAAATTAGACCGCATTTGCTAAAAGTAATGTTTAGTTAAGTAGGTATACACAAAGATGATAATAATATCTTTGGGTATACCTACATACTTAACTAAACATTACTTTTAATAGTTATTAAATGATGGTTAATTTTATTTGGAAAGCGTTGAGTGAAGAAACACACCTTAATAAATGGTTTAAGGACTAACCAAGAAGAAACAGGATACAAGGATTGAGTAAACTCGTCACTTAAAACATAAATAAGGTAAATTTTATTTTTAAAATTTAAAATTGTTTTTAAAATAAGATTTTTATAGGTTATATCCAATGAAATTATTCTGGAATGAAACTATCCATATTTTGGTCAATGTTTTGCCAGAGGGGTCCTGCTTAAAAACTATCCAGCTTACTTTCTAACTTTTGATCCACAATATAGAAAAATGTAGCAGATGCTAATCAAATTCATATATCATTATTCTTCATAATTGGTTTAAATAAATATAAATTTATATTTATTTTAACTAGGTATTAATATATATTTTTATTTATTTGTACTTATTTTAGTTTTTAGCATATGTTATTAACAAGGGGTTGTCCATAAAGTAGGTCACATGTTTAGGGGAAAGGCAGACCTGCCACCAGGGTCAAGACTGAAAATATTATAACATCATTGATTAAGATAACATAATAATGAAATTATGTGGGACATGAGGGGAGGGAGTCTGAAATTCTCCAAAAAGGTGTGATATACTTTATGGATGATCCCAATTGTTTATTTTAAGTATATTTTTATGTGGGATTCCACTTTTTAGTCTGACAAAATACTTATTTATATATAACATATAACCTATGTTAATAGATTTAACTGTAATCCCAGAGAGCCATGCTTTGGGAAAGAAATTAGTCAACTTTTTCCCAACTAAGTTTGGACTACGATATTTTACATTTATTGGGGTTTATTTGGACATATTAATTGTATTTTCATAAAGTTTGACCAAAAATTGACATGTTTTATGCCAAATTATTTTCCAATGCGATAGCACAACAACTACACAAATATACAGTCCTAGATAGAGTTATTATTGGCCAACGTCGTTTGTAATGAAGTTTGGTCGAAAATTGGCAAAGCGTTTGTAATTCAGATTGATCGAAACTTGGCAAATAATTGATCAGCATGGAAAAAGAATCGCAATGGCGAGTTATACATCTGTCGTTAATATTTCAAGACCTTCTCTACAAAAAGGCGTCAAAAAGTGCTTGTGTGATAGTTATTACAAAAAAATATAATCATCTGTGCACTAACTAAACGTGTTAAGTTTTAAACGGCTTTAAATTTTGAGTAAGTAATTAAGGTTAGGTATGTTTTCAAAGTTTTTAATAAAACATTCAATTATACAATTTCTTACTTCTTGAAGATTTTATACCCTTATTAATTTTGAAGTAGGTAATATAAATTTACATTGGTAGTTCTATATTATGTACTTATTTTTTGTTAATTGTTACAGATTTTCATCTTGAAGTTGCAGTGAAGAAAAATAACTGCCTTTTTCTAGGTAAATAGTGTTTATGGGTACTAGGCTTTTACTACAAGCAGGACAATTTAAAAATAAATTTTCTACCTATATGTCACGAAGGAAAAAGAGGATTTATTGGGTTTTAAGATCTATCGTGCTAGAAGTGAGCAAGGTAATTGCAATTTTTTTATTGAATTTAAAAATTTATTTCTTTTTTATTTTTAAAGTTCTTCATAACATAAAGTTACCAATCACAAACTATTTTTCTTAATGTTTAATAAAGCATAATTCTTGATAGCCTGATCGTAATTCTATTTGTATCATAATATTATAACAAGTAAGTATAATGAAACGTAACATAGGTAATTTAATTTAAAAAATTGTGTAACACAATTTGTGTTGACCCGTCAAACAAGAAAAACTCAACCAAGAATACATCTGCACTTAAAGAAATCTATAGATAGGTATACAGGGTGTCCTGAAATTAGGGGGCCAAACTTAAACAGTGCATTCTTCATAGAAAAATAACACTTTTTTGTAAACATGTATCAAAAAATGGTTTTCACTTCCAAAATACGTTTTAAGACTTGTGTTTTTATATTGTTATGTTATAGGTTAGCTACTTTAAATTTGTCGCTGACGATGACGTCGTAGGCAGCGTGAATTTAATTGTCAAAGAAGCCTTCTCAGATGAAGTTTCTTCCAAAATAACGCGCACTGGACGTGCTGGTGTTGGAGTGTCCAAAACAAAAATCGTACAAGCCATTCACCGTATGTTTTATATTTTAATATTATTTCCTAGACAATTTTGTTACTTAAAGTATTTTTTAGAGAGTTTACATGAACATGATAAATTTCCTCCTCCAGGGGCTTTAGAATTGCAGAGGTCCTTTGACGTGGCCTTAAACAACGAGAAGCAACGGGTCCGAAATAAAAAAAAGCCTTATTGCAAAAAAACAATTAAATCACTGCTTGGGATTCAACATAAAAAAACAATATTTTTTTCCAATTTTGATTATTTTAAATATTTTTTATTTATACATTTGTTTTTTTTAATATTATTTTTGACCACTGTTCCAGTATTGAAACATACTGTTTTATTTTTTTATTATTAAAAAATATAAATACAAAATTTTTTATTTACCCAATTTTCAAATATAATAATAATATTTGTTAATACTTTGGATTTGTCCAAATATTTACCAATATTTGGTCAATTTTTCAAAAGCCTAATTGCCCAAATAAACATCAAAAATTTGTCATCGTTTTTCCATGCCCAAACATTCCCAAAATTAAACCAACGGTAACCTACCTAATTTATCCAA